TGCCAGGAATCGTCCAAAGCTGGGTATCCTTTCCACCAAACCCAGTACAGTGTTTGCTTGCCAACAGTCTTTGAATCAATACTATGTTCAATTTCAAACTCCTCCTGGTTCTTGATTAGTTCCGGTGGAGGTCAGAGATAGTTCTTCCCATGCATTGTCCTTTCTGAATAAGGATAGAGTAGTCCTGCGTGGAACACCAGGTGAATCTTCCATTTGGGCAGTAATTTCAGCCAATAAACTACTGATGACAGTTTCTGATCAATGGTGAAGGGTCCATAGTGCCTTGGCCTGAGCTTTGCTTTTGGATGGAGGCCTTCGAGGTTGGTTGCTTCCAGCCATACTCTCTGTCCAAGTGTATACTCAACAAACTTGTCCTTATTCCGTTTCCTGACTGTTTCTTCTGCTAGTCAAATACTGGATTGGATTTCTGTGTGAAGGTGTGCTAGCTGGGTGAGTCTAGAAGCAATGTCTGGAGCATCAGCTGTTCCCACAGTGGGAATACTATGCCAAGGTTGGTAACCCATGAGTGCCTGAAAGGGGGACGTCCTGATTGCATCATGATATCTATTGTTGTGCGTGAATTCTGCTAGCAGCAGGTGATGTGTCCAGTCTGTTGCTTGGTGATTGTAAAAGATCTGAAGATACAATTCCAGATCTTGATTGACATATTCTGACTGCCAGTCAGTTTGAGGATGAAATGTGCTAGAGATGTTCTGTTTGATGTCTAATTTAGTGCATAGTTCCCTGAACATTTGTGATGCAAATTGGGGTCCTCTGTTGGAGATAGCTTTGAGAGGTAGTCCAAATTGTTGGAAGACATGGTTCTGATACAGGGTAGCTGTCTCAGATGCAGTAACTGTCTTGTTGCAGGGAATGAATATTGAGGCTTTAGTACAGTCATGATCAGTTACTACCAGACAGCTGTCAAAGCTGTCACTCCGAGGAAGATCTGTGATGAAGTCCATGGCAATAGATTGGAATAGAAGGTGGTGTTCTGTTGTGATGGGAGTTAGATCTGGTGAGTTCCTGTTAAGGGACCTAACGACTGAGGATCAGGAGTTCAACTGGTTAACTG